GTGGCGAGATTCATTTTGACGTAATGCTGCGTAAGGGGATTAGAGTTATTTGGGGCACGTTAAATCCGAGTCATACGTATAATATTTTATGGAGATCAATTCAAACATAAAAAACATCTCTGCGGTAAACCTCTTTATGCCCGCCGCCGCTCGCTAAAGCTGATTAACGAGTTAAAAACAGCAAGCACTTTGTGTAATGAAATAAGCCGCCCCTCGCCAAACCAAGCACGCCTCATTCCAGAGTCCTTGGAGCTCCATCTGGGGGTAAGAGAGCTTCAAAGTGACCCCCGCAAAAAGTCTTCCGTGGTCACCGGTGGGTCTTGTGCTCTTTAAGGCTGGGGCCATGCAAAGTGTCCAAAAAGATTTATCAATACTTACTGGCAGACGGTATTATATGTTTTTTAAATAATATACACTTTGAAGTAGCAGTATGTACTGTGTTTTTAAAACAATCCCACATCTAAATATTAAACAAAAAGAATTGCTAAAATTATTAAAATAATAAATGAAAAAATAATTAAAGAAATAATAAAGAAAGAAAGAAAGAAAGAAAATTACAAACAAAATAATAATAATAGTTTCATTTAAAACATGGGAAGTCATATGGAATGATTTTTTAAAGTTCACTCATAGCTGTTTGCAGATTGTAATATGGTCTTTTATTTTTATAAAAATATAACCATTTTCTTTTTTAATTTTTCAATAGACTGGGGAACAGTTAAAATCTTCTTGTATATTATTATTAATATTATGCAGGATTTATATAGCGCCAACAGTTTGCACAGCGCTTTACAATATAAGGAAGACATTACAGTCACAATACAATTTAAGACAAGATGGTAAGGAGGGCCCTGCCCCTGAGGGCTTACAATCTAAAATACATTACATACCTTATTTTAAACCTAGTGATGTCATCACTGGGTCCCTGTGCCTATGCAATCAATACAGGCAGGTCATAGCTGGTGGGAGTGGCCGGCAGGGTGCTGTACATAGCATCCTGATAACATCACAGCTCCTTGCCTCAGTACTCCCCTCAACAGCCCTCACCCCTGGTGCAAGCAGTGGGCTGGCTCTTGGGAGAAGTTATGCAAATTTCAAAATCACTTAACGGGTAGGTGTCAGTCTGGAGCATTGTGCGTTCCTAAGCAGGTTTCTTTTGCATTCAGACCACCCTTGAGGGCTTAACCAATCAGATTTTTGCTTATTAATTTTTTTTGTGCGCTATGTATCTGGGGGCGTGGCCGGGGGTGGCCTTCACCATCATACTTTGTGACAATTGGTACTCATCTCAGGAGGTCGGTCCCGTACCATTATCCAAATAGTTTTTGGGAAAGGACCGCAAGAGCGCACCAACGTGACACCATGAATATTGATGCTGATTTTTATCTCGAGCGCCGTTCTTTTTGTATCTGCGAGTCGCATCCACTGAGATAATTATTTCCCGGATTCCGCTCGCCTCGTAGACCTTGGCCTGACCATACCAGGTATCTGTGGGGGCAGGGGCTTTTTTGGGGGGTGTTTTATTAATTTTAATGTAATTAATTTTATGTAAACTTTAATTTTTTTACACTTTTTTTTGTTAGCACTTAACTTTATTCCTATCATACAAAGGGATAACAAGCCCCCTATGTGATAGCTGATTACTGGTGGCAGGTTCTAGTTAAGCAGATATTAGGAGTCTATTAGACCACTAATGTCACCTTTGCAGCCCAATAAAGCTAACCAAGCGCAGATTGTGTTTGATCAGCTTCATCCCGGGCCACAGCGTCGGGGGAATGACAGTTCAGAAGCCGGAAGTGACATCATTCTCGGCGCTTCCGGGTTCCTTGTACAGCGAGGAGATCAGCAGAGTGATGTCCACTGTTCTCCATCCCCTGCGGCTGCCGACACATGGCATGGCCGTCCTGGTTCCGCAGAAGGGGCAGCAGAGCTCGGGAAACATGGGGATTTGGCACGCAGGTGGGGGACATGCTGTGATTGAGCCATTTACAGCCCAGCTGCTATCATTTTACAGGGGCATGCTTCCACAGGCATAGTACAGGCCTGTGGCTGTCAGAGTCTTGCAATGCCTCATGGGACTTGTAGTTCCACAGCAGCTGGAGGGCCAGAGGTCAGAGATATCCAGTGAAGATGAACATAGAAGGTACCTACCTATCAGTGCCTTGAATAAGTTGCTTTTAAACATACAGATGACCTTCTCAACGGCCAGTCGTAGCTGCACCTCACTCGGGTTTTGTAGCTTGCTGCAGTAATCCTCCAGCAGTGACAGAGCGCGCTCAGTGTCTGGAAGAAAAGGAGCAAGAAAAGCACATTTACAATATCTCCTGACCAATAATCATTAAAGGTGAACTCCGGCCTTCCCCTCAGTCCTATATATCTGACCTCAGGCCTTCCCCTCAGTCCTATATATCTGACCTCCGGCCTTCCCTTCAGTCTTGCACAGTTGTACCGGCTCCTCTCATGGACTGAAATGGCTGAAACTGATTTCAATGCACACTGCGAGCTTCTCACAATATGCACTACAAGCTGCAGCAAGTCAGAGAGAGCCCGCCTCATTTCCTGGCTGGAGGGAGTCCAGCATCATCTAGTCTTTCCTCCTCAGCTTGATTGTCCCTGGCCCCGCCCCTTTCATTCATTGGATTTCAGTTCTTTCAATCATAGAGGCTTAGCGTCACATGTGGGCCATACCTTGTGTGGTTTGCATCATAATGCAGTCTGACACTCGCTCCTCCAGGTTGACACCCAAACATCAAGGCATTATGGCATTTGCATAACTACACCCTATAAGTAAGCAATTTCAATACAGGAGAAGAACCGATACAACTGTGCAAATAAAAAAAATATAAAAATCCTAGGATGCCATTTTTCACAGAATAAAAAAGGTAGCAAAAAAGTACCATAAATAAATGCAAAGCAACAGTATACGATTTGTGTCCAGAAGCTTTCAATGTTTTTATTTGACTTTTTTTGTTTTCTTTGTGTGAAAAAATCCACAAATAATAATGATGATAAAAATAGACAAATAATACTTATAATAGTATTAATGATAAAGTAATAAAATACACAGCTACTTCTACTACTAATAATATTATTATTAATAATAATAAATCAAACACCCAAATAATAATAATAATATCATAATATTTTTAATAATAATAAAATACACAAATGCTACTACTACTAATTCTACTACTAATAATAATAAAATATGCAAATAATACAACTAATTATAATAAAAATAAAGAACACTTTACAAATCAACATGGGAAGGTCTTCTTACGGGTATTTTTGTTTTCATAAGAAAATTCTACATAAAGGAGACAATTTGGCGAGATTAGAGGCTAGGTCAATTTCGTCAAAATCACACCACTCATCACTAATCCTGGCTGGTCTCGTGTCTATACGCTTCTTCAGAAGAAGAGAATAATGTCACCAGCACACAGCAATAGTAAATCAATGATCCATTTTAATGGCACATTGCCATCCAATACAAGCGCTTTCGGGGCCACAAGGGGTCCCCTTCATCAGGCTCAGAATGACACGATACACGTTTCTTCAGGCTCCATTCACATGTAGCGTTTGCGTTTCCCATGGGAAAACACGCAGCATCGCATACTCAAAAATATTTCACCCGCAAACGTAAAAATCCATGAAAAAATCTACTATTGTACTATTTTGTGGTGTGTGCGGTTTATTACCGTGCGGCTGCCGCAAAAGTCTGAACAATGCACATTAAAGGATATTTAAACCCTCCCGTTTTTCTGCATATATCTCCTGCTGGCAAGCAGGAGATATATGCAAACAGTTTTTTTTAAAAAACAAAACGCTCAAACTGCAGTTTAGACTTACCCTGTGTTCCGTGCGCGGTCCCGTGCGAAAATGAGAAATTTCTCGAGCGGCCGCAAAGGATCTTGGGGCGGGCGCATACGCAGTTCTCATTTTCGGCAGGGACGCGACGAGGGACGCAAGGTAAGTCTATGGACGCGTGCCCCCGCATGCAGACACCGCTGGATCGGAGGGACAGAGCAGTCAGCGCTGGATCGGAGAGACACCGCACCGCTGGAGAGAAGGCTGAAAACATCAGGAAAGAAGAGGAAGATCGGAAAAAGAGAGATAATTTAAGGTAAGTGCTGACATTAACATGGGGGGAGGGGAAAATGTTTTTGCCTTTAATGTCAGTTTAAAGTGCATTGGGTTTTTTTCTGTTTAGAGCGTCACCATGCGTATTCGGCCGGCCGTATACGTGCGGACAAAAACTCCTAAGTGAATGGAGCCAGATGGTTTGGACAGCACCCTTAATGTAGTGCAGCGCCTATCACCTTCTGTGATGTGACTACTAGACATTTAGTGATAGCCGGGGCTGTAGACAGCCTGGATGGATTTGTAGTGACAATTACATGGTTAATCCCAGGTGTCCAGCCTTGCCTGTACCCCCCTGGGCAGAGTGAGACTCTGTCATATTGTGGGACAGCCAATGGAAGATACTGTAATGTGTGTACAGTACAGCAGCCAATCACTGGGCCCCTCTCAGCCAGTGGTGCCTGCTGGGAGAGTGTACATACAGGTGAAACTCGAATAATAAGAATATCTTGCAAAAGTAATTGCAGTAATTGCTGCAAAAGGGGCCCAAACCAAGCACTGAGTACATATGCATGCTTGTACTTTTCAGAGGTCCGATATTGTTCTATGTACAATCCTTGTTTTATTGATTGCATGTATTAATCTACTTTTTTGAGGTTGTGGATTTGGGGTTCTTGGGGTTTTCATGAGCTGTAAGCCATAATCATCCCAATTATGACAAATCCCTGAGGCCTCCAACATGGAGGAGGCCTGAGAGATTGAAAGAGGGAGAGAACCGGGACTAGTGCAGGCTCTGGAAGTACCCTGGAACTAAGTGGACTTCAGAGCATGGTCGATGTCTTTCCTGGATTGAGGATCTGCATCCATCTGGACTGTCTGGTACATCAGTGGTTATCTGATGTGGTCGGGTGGATCTGCATTGCTACCTTTACAAGGTCCGGTGAGTCTGGGGCTTCTGAATGGTTACCCCTAGACACCTAGAACCCCTATACCCTCTCTCCCAAAGAAGATGTTCAATAAAATGTTCACTTAGCATCATACTACTGAAGTGGACATCAATTTATGAAGGGCGGTTAGTGCTAATGGGCGCAGATGGAGATCAACCCCTAGACCAACTAAATGTGGACCATGACAAGGAGGAGAGGCCACACCTTAAAATTGGTGGAGAACATTGTTTAGCACAAGCGGCGAAGGGGTTTCTTCTCAGTCAGATCAGTCAGGGTCTGGAACTCGCTGCCACATGCTGTGATTTCGGCTAAGAGTGTGGAATTGTTCAAGAGGCGATTGGACGATTTCCTCAGGGACCGTAATATACAGGAGTACAAGTACTCTTAAAGACCGTGACACACTGCACGCGAAGCCGTGCAGAGCGAAGCAAAGCTATCCGACACGGAGCTTTGCGTGCAGTGTGTGAGCTGAGTGCAGTCAGATGATTGACAGCACCTTCAGCCAATCGGCTCGTCCGTAACAACATCGCGACGCGCTGGTTTATACGCGCGAGCCGATTGGCTGAAGTTGAAATTGTTCATCTCGGCACGCTCAGCTCCGCGAGCTCTCGCAAGCTGAGGTGCCGAGCAGAAAATTACATGACACACTGCTCGCAAAGGCAGCGCGCCCCCGCTCCGCGCTGCTTCGTGTGCAGTGTGTCACGGCCTTAAGATTGAGAACACAAAGGGACATATACATACTACACATCAATAGGACCATACACATACACGCAATAGGTTGGACTTGATGGACATATGTCTTTATTCAACCTCACATACTATGTAACTATGGACTGGTCAAACAGCGGCTCCCTCCGGGGAGTTATCGCTACAGTAATAGAATCCAAAGGGTGTGCATTGACCTTATCAGCACTGACACCTTGGCAATTCTGTGCCCTTTCGCATGCACAATCACACACTACCAACAGCGAGGATAGGGTTAACTCCATATGGCGGTATCTTCAACTCCCAACTCAACCGGGGATAGAATTGGGAACAGAATGAACCCCTTTCTCTCTGGCAGAGGGGAGGAATCGGTAATCCCAGCCCCTTCGGCAATGGCAGGGTTAATTCTAATTCCTGAGCAGGAAGCCGCCACCAGCACAATCATAACCTGTACATGAGAAAGCTGCGTACTTACAGCAAATGTCATATAACAGCAAAACGACATTGTATTGTGTCCCCACCGATGAAACAGATTGTTGATGTTCCACAATAAAGACAATGAAAGAAAAAGATACATTGTTACAAATGGCCATCATGGCTACAACCAATGAATGGAGCTCTTTATTATATTTATAGAGGGGATTGTTCTGCCGAGTTCTCACTGCGGCTGATTATAAACGAAAGCCTTGATCATCGAATGCATAAACCTTGGAGCGCCTCTAATCCTCTGCTGCGCTTTTCTCCGGAAGCTTCCACTGCTCTGATTTATATCCGAGGTTACTAAGCAAACATACGCATGTATGTACTATCTGAGGCAGGGCTGGACAATTCTCAGGGGCCAGGTCGCCAATGCTCCTTAGAAATTACGCATGGCGCCTAAGTTTTGAGGTTTTTTTCTAGTTGTTGTCTATAGAGCTGGCTCCTAAAAGAAAATCCTGAGGGGTCCTGGATTGGACAGACTGGCTCCTGAAGATAACCACAATCGTTCAAAGGAAAATTAGAGAGGGTTAGTACCAGTGACGTGCGGTACCTTTTGGTTTCCAAGGTGGCGCATTCCCCATGCATGTCCCACTCCGCCCCACGCCCGATGAAGCCCCGCCC